AAAATAGCAACATTACGCAATTTATAAAAATAGAAACATCAATTTTTAAAAAAAGAAACATTACGCAATTTCTAAAAATAGAAACATTACGCAATTACTAAAAATAGAAACATTACGCAATTTCTAAAAATATAAACATTACGCAATTACTAAAAATAGAAACATTTCGCAATTTCTAAAAAATAGAAACATTACGCAATTTCTTAAAAAAGAAACATTACGCAATTTCTTAAAATAGAAACATTATGCAATTTCTTAAAATAGAAACATTACGCAATTTCTAAAAATAGAAACATTATGCAATTTCTAAAAATAGAAACATTACGCAATTTCCATAAATAGAAACATTACGCAATTTCCATAAATAGAAACATTACACAATTTCCATAAATAGAAACATTACGCAATTCTATCAATATAAACATTACGCAATTTCTAAAAATAGAAGTTGTTGTTCTTGTTGTTGATGAAAATTCAGTAATTTAACCTTCAAGGTCAAGGTCATGAAAGACCCAAACAAATTTTGGGGGTTTAAAACAACAATTTTCCAAAATTTTTTTAAAATAAAAACCCTTTCAATAAACAAATTACAGTCATTCCCCAAAAAACAATGAAAACAAAAATTTTAAACCCTTAAAGAAACATTAATGAGTAAGGGTCAAGGTTTTTGGGAAATTTTTTTTAAAAAAAAAATTTATTTTTGAAAAAAAAAATTAATGTTAAATTTAAAACAATACTTTTCAAAAATAAAAAAAGAAACCCAGCCAATAAACCCAAAAAAAATAAAATTTTTTCAATAATTTGCCCTTTAAATCAAGGCTTTAGGGGAAGGTAAAGGCCCCGTCTAGTTTTTTTTAAGGGGAAAACCCCTGAAGAAAATTATGTTAAAATTTTAAAGAAAATCCATCAAAAATAACAAAATTTCACCCAAATAATAGCCAAAAAAATGAAAATTTCAATAATTTGACCTTCAAACTCAAGGTCATTTATGAGTGAAGGTCAAGGTCTGGCTGGTTATTTTTAAGGGATATCCTTGAAAATTATTATGTTCAAGTTTGAAGACAATCCATCCAAAAAAAAAACAAAGTTTCAACCAATAACAGCATGAACAAGCAAACATTGGACTTTTAACCTTGAAGGTCAAGGTCATTTATGGATGAAGGTCAAGGTTAGTGTGGTCTACTGAAAGGTCTTTTCCAAGGGTTGTTGTGGCCAAGTATGAAGACAATACACCAAGAAATAAAAAAAATTATGATCCAGGTACAAGTTTGCGGACGGCAACGGCAACGGCAATGGCAAACGGCAACGGCATTGGCAACGGCAACGCCGACCCGACTATAACAATACCTCTACTTTTTTTTCAAAAAAAAAAGTCGAGCAAAAAAAAAAAAAGCAAACAAAAAAAAAATTTAATAACACAAAAAACACCACTTTCAACAACACCCCCATTTTTTTACCTCGTGACGCCCCCAATAATAGAAAAACCATTTTCAACTCCACAAAAACCAAAAACAACGGGGTTCGTTTTTTTGTTTTTTCCGGGATTTATACATTTAAAAAAACGTTATCCCCTCATTTTTATATTTTGGGTGAGGGTTACTTCCGGGCCTAAATCAATTTTATTGTAAACCCTTTTTCTCGGAGTTTACCTGTCATTAGAAATGTAAATTTTTTTTTTGAGAAACAAAAGGGTTACGGGAAATCGATTTTTTTTAAATGAAATCCAGTCTTTTGGTTTAATTTTTAAAATTAAAAAATTGGGCTTTTGGGCCCATTTTTTTCTTGCCGAGTATAGAGCCCGGTCATAACCATAAAATAACATAAACCCCAAATTTAATCACACATTTTGTTTAACCCCCATTTTATAAAACAAGAACTTATTATATGCTGCATTGATTAGTTTCATTTAGAGTAAAATTGTATTTGTTTCCTAAAATTGGACTTAGAACATAAAATACTTGTATATGAACATTATCTAAAAATGATAGAGTGATTTATAAATAGCAGAAAACGGTTTTCAGTATTTAAAGCTAAAAAATATCTCCCTGGACCTGTTTACTAGTCACATTTTTGGTCAACTTATCACTATAAGATAACTAATGTTACATCACAGAGTATCATACAGGTAACACATACGAGGGCTGCCCCCAATAAGTCTGGGACAACAGTGTTTAAATACAAAATACTCAACGGACCTCTGAAAGAATTTGACTGATATGTAGCACGCTAGTGTCGAGTGAAAATGCAAACAAAATCTGCTACACGTTTTATGTAAAGCCACCCTCATATACGAGACATTAACAAATTGTCTTTTAAATTCTCAGCACACTCAATTTTTTACACTCTTAATTTTTTATATACTGCGAACTATTTCATGTATGTCTCCATAAACATTATTTTTCAATTTTCTCGGTTGTCGGCACAAATAAACGGCGCAGGCTAGCTAAAGCATGTTTACGAAAGACTGCATACAACAAACGGCCGAAGACAACAGACGGTGGAGGAGAACAATAACAACAAACAAAATAAATAAATAAATAGCATCATATGGAAAATAGTCAATGGCGGAGGGCAGTGTAAATTAACAGCAACACAAACGACAAAAAACAACACAAATCAAATGCCGAGGGCAACAAACAAGTAACTGTGGAGAAACACAAATTAACGGTGGGGCAACACGGAGAACAACACAAATAAACTGCCAAGGGCAACGTGGAAAACGACACAAATTCACGATGAGTACAACGCAATGAACGGCTGAGGATATTTTTTTTTGACAATTAATTTATAAAATTGTTTTTTCTCTTCAAGTAAAATTAATCGGTTTATTTTTTTTTATAAATTCCCCATTGTACAATAAATTTTGGTTTATGTGACAGTGTATATAAACACAGATAAATATTTAGCCCCCATGAATAAACATGGGGCAAATCTAGGAAAATTGAAAAACGATTTTTTCCACGCACATTTTACGGGGGGAGTAAACCGAAAAAACCCGGGTTTTTTTTGAAATAAAATACTACTTATTTGACACCCTTGAAATTTGGGAACGCCCCCGGGATTTTATTCATAAAATCCCAAATTAAAAACATTATAAGTTCATAAAAAGTCATTCCGAAGCCCTAGGGGAAAGGCCAAAAATTTGGGACGGACAGAACCGGCAAACAATAGGGCGAAAAATCGCCGCTTTTTTTCTTGAGGGACCCCCATTTTTTTAAGGGAAAACGACCTTTTAAAAAATGCATTTGTTTGGGGGACTACTGAAAAAGCAATTACACTTGATTTTCAACAACGGGAATCGGAAAAAATAATTTAGGGAAAATAGTAGGGGAAAATTTTGGACTGCCCAGGAAAACCCTAGAGCCACTCCCCAAAAAGGGGGCGAAAAAAAATTTAAAACCTGGAGCGTATTTTCCCGGAGTGGTTAAAAATTTGCCGCCAAATTTAAAACCCCATTTTGCCCTTACCACGGGGGTTCGAAACCGCCAGAAATTTGGGGGTTTCTGTCATGGGGGAACCAAATCCGCTACCTTAGGGGAACGTTGGGGGTTCAAATTGAGAAAATTTTCGTACAGAAATAATAAAGGGTTGGGGAAACATCGGGTCTCCCCATCCCTTTAAAACCGAAAAAAAAACACAAAGACGGCATAATTTTAAAAACCATAATTTTCCTTTAACTGAATAAATTATAAATATCTGCAATATCCTCAAACTTGAGTGCTTGAACCTCCAGTCTTTTCAAATAAATATCTCTAAAAAACAAAACAGTTCCCTCTTGCTAGAGGTCAGGCCTTTAGACTTACTCCCAGCTATTGAAATTTTTTTACAGGAAAATGCATAACATAAACATAAAAGCCATTTTCTAATATAAGTTGTCTCCCGTAAGACAATAAAGATTTCTTAAGGTTTTGTACTTTATATGTACATAATGAAAATTTTTTACCCCAGGGCTATAATTGATTACAAACTTTATTCATTGACGGCCCCGCCTTCCTTGTTGATCTTTTTATTATTTTTACTAAATGCATATAAGGAAAACCATGAACCCGGGGGCTCAGCCAATTTGAACTTTAGGGGCAAAATTTGAATAACCTTTGGTTAAATAACTGAGGACCTTTAAATTAATATATTATAAAAGCTCCTAAGCCTTGTACCTTCAGACAAGAAGATTTGTAAGTTTTAACTATATGTACATATTGAAATCAATGACCCCCAGGCAGGGCCAATTGACACGAGGACTATAATTTGAACAATCTTGGTAGAGGTTCAATAGGGTAAGGCAAGGCCTTATGCAAAATATCTAAGCTCTAGGCCTTGTGGGTCTTTACAAGAAGATGTTTTTAATTTTTCTCATATTTTTTTTTTTTTTTTTTTTGGGGGGGGGGGGGTCGCCATGGTAACCAGATTTCTGCATGGGATAAAATAAAATTCTTTAAATAATTTGCAAGCCCTTCGCCCAAGGATCAATACGTCCAAGTTTGGAACTTTTGGAGGTACTGTTTTTTAGGAGAAGATTTTTTAAGTTCACTATATAATCTTTATAACAGACAAACACACACACTGGTGAACTGCTATATGCCACTGCATTGCAGATGCTGCGGTTGCAAAAAAACTACCAACTCCGTTAATCCTATACTGCATGTATTTTTTTGCTTAAAAAAAAGCATTAAAAAAAAGTTTAAAATTTCCAATTTCTTTTAAATTTTTATTTTAAAAAAACATCATTTCCCTTTTGGGAAATATAAATAAAGCCTTTTCAATAAAATTTTTCAAATCAAAGTTTTATTTTCATTTTTTTCAAAATTTTTATTCAATTTTTCAATTTTCAGAACGCCCCACAACCGGCAAAAGGAAAGAAAAAACAAAAATAATACACAAACCCCGATTTTAAAACAACAAAACCTTTTATTATAAAACATCAAAACCTTTAATTATATAAAATTTTAAAACATCAAAACTTTAATTTTCATAACATTTTTAACAATACAGTCAAAAACTTGAATTATCATAACATAATATACAATACAGTCAAATCTTGAAATATCATTACATAATATACAATACAATACAGTCAAACCTTGAAATAACAAAACATTATATGTAATACAGTCAAACCATGAATTATCATAGCATAAATTCAGTACAGCGAGACCTTGAATTATCATTACATTATATACAATACAGTCAAATCTTGAAATATCATAACATAATATACAATACAATACAGTCAAACCTTGAAATAACAAAACATTATATGTAATACAGTCAAACCATGAATTATCATAGCATAAATTCAGTACAGCGAGACCTTCAATTATCATAACATAATATATAAAACAGCCAAACCTTGAACTATCATAACATAATATACAATACAGTCAAACCTTGAACTATCATAACATAATATACAATACAGTCAAACCTTGAACAATCATAACATAATATACAATACAGCAAAACCTTGAACTATCATAACATAAAATTACAATACAGTCAAACCTTGAACTATCATAACATAATATACAATACAGCCAAACCTTGAACTATCATAAAATAATATATAAAACAGTCAAATCTTGAACTATCATAACATAATATACAATGCAGTCAAACCTTGAACTATCATAACATAATATACAATACAGTCAAGCCTTGAATTATCATAACATAATATACAATACAGTCAAATCTTGAACTATCATAACATAATATACAATACATTCAAATCTTGAACTATCATAACATAATATACAATACAGTCAAATCTTGAACTATCGTAACATAATATACAATACAGCCAAATCTTTAACTATCATAACATAATATACAATACAGCCAAACCTTGAACTATCATAACATAATATAAAAAACAGTCAAATCTTGAACTATCATAACATAATATACAATACAGCCAAACCTTGAACTATCATAACATAATATACAATACAGTCAAGCCTTGAATTATCATAACATAATATACAATACAGCCAAACCTTGAACTATCATAACATAATATCTAAAACAGTCAAGGACGTTTGCTCCCCCAACCCACATACATCAGTGAAAATGCAAATGTGGACAATTGCCCCCTCTCCCATATAATTGGAACTTCACTAGGTTGTAGTAAGAACATGACACTGAGGCAGTAATAAACAACTAAATGAGATCTTATGAAATTCCTGTATGTGGTAGTGTATTTGATTTTATACACTAATTTCAAAATCTAATGAACTCTTAACTTTTCTTTATCAGACTCATCATATGTTTGGCTCCCTATTTTAACTGATACACTTTGACATCTTGAGATGCACTTGTGACCAAGAGGCGATTTTCTTGTTTTATATACATCACAGAAGTAGGGTCTAAAATTCCATTCATACTACCTAAGATTTCTTCCATTGTGTTATTCTTTCTATCTACTAGAAATATATTGTGTGAGTCCCGACCACAAACAAAGAATTGACCATTTCTTCCCTCACAGACACAATAAGCATTTAGAAGTCTCTCGTGTGTAACCTTTGACAATGTCTTGTTAATCGTGTCAGAGACTAAGAGACCCTTTTTACTGGTAGAAATGTACATGCAAGAGTTATAAGAGCTGAAAGTTGCATGAATAATTCCTATATCAGCTTCTTCATCAGACAGGAATATATGTGTTTCAATATAAGAACCTTTCAGATCATAAACTGAAAAACCAAACTTATAACTGAATATGTAAGAGTGGTTAATGTATTTCCGGTATGTCAATACATCACACACAAATAGTTTTTTATTTGAAACTGTTAAACCAAAACATTGTACTTTATACAATTCCCATGGTGGATTTACTGGGTACCGCTTCTTCATATCATCCTTATTGCTATACATACAAAAAGACCGACTGATTAATAATGATTTTCCAGCATCAACAAATGTAAATTTCTTTTCATCATCCAAAGCAGCTATCTCAGTTGGTCCGACCTGGCATAAATGCCAGGCCCTACTCAAATAACATTTATCTAACAACTTATAAGTTCTATCAAGTCTAATAAGACCTTCATTTACAAGAATAATAATCTGGCCATTATCTAATATACAACTGTCTTTTCCTTTAACAGAAACTTGACTAACAATTGATGCTTCAGCTACATGTATCTGAGAATAAGTGGCTACTGTATGACCTTTTTCCCTGTCTTCATCACCTTTGACATTACCAAAAGCATCTATCTTACCTACAAAGGTTGCAATATCTTGATTGACTACAAAATCAATTTTGTTATACTCCCCTTTACCATTCTCATCAATGAAACTACTACTACTTACTTCTACCTCATGTGCTTTATTCAGAACTACAAACAAATTAGCTTCATTGTCTCCCTTGAATGCATTAACCTTTTCAATATTGCTCTGAACGGCATTCAGTTTCACATCTATTGAGTCTATGTCAGTCTTTATAGCTCTAACGATTTTGTCATGTTTCTTCTGGACTTGTTGGACAGAATTTCGTTCCAACTCTTCCACTTTGGCAATGATCTGTTCCTTCATCTTGACAATTTCTTTCAAGTTTTCATCTTTTTCTTCACCCACATCTTTTATCTGCTGTAACCTTTTAGCCTTCATGGAATTCAGCTGTTTCCGAATCCCTTCTAGCGATGTCTTCAGATCATTTCTGTCCCGTCCATTCAAGATTTCTTTTGCCAGCTTTGGGATGAAGTCAGCACTCTTGCACAACCTTAAATGAAAAGAATAATTTGAATCAAACTTTTATGAAAACATTTGTGACAACTTACTCTGTCACCGAATATACTAAAAAGTTTATAAGGTTTAATATATACGATACATTGTATTTATAGATAACGGTGCATGTAATTTCAAGGTAATTTGAGGATTGAGAAAGTTATTTTGGCTGGACATGATTTTTGTAAAGGAGGTAGAGGCTAATAAATAAGTGTTGGTTTAATACTCAATTTATCAATCAAGCTACATGTATATAAAAACAATCGACAAATGGTTGAAAACTTAGTAAAATAAAATTTAAAGTACATAATATACACATATACTGTTAGTTAAAGATGTTGTACTTGAGTATTAATAAAGAAATCAAAATATAATCAAATTTATTCTAACCAATGAAAAGAATATTAATAAGTTATAGCACACTTCTTAGAACATTTTCCAGACTTTGTATCTAATTTGCATGTACTAAAAATACCCATTTTACATATTCAGAAATACATGTATAATAAATAAATAATGTAATTAAACTCTCACCTGTGATCAACAGCTATACAAACAGCACAACACACAGTATCATGTTCTCTACAGTACATTTGAATTGGGTATCCTGCATGTTTATCACATGCTAAACCGCTTTGTGTCTGCTCAAACTGGAGCTTGCCTGATTTAACTCCAGATTTATTGTAGATTGTGTGAGTTTTGAAGCATTTGTTGTGGAATTGAACGCATGCATGACAGAAGTAAGTCTGGCACTCAGCGCAGAAATTCACACCGTCAATGTTTTTGCCATCATCAGAACAAGGTTTACATGCGAACTCGTGAACGATGTCTGAAGATTCACTCACATCAGTACTTGAAGTTGCCATTCTTTTCCAAAACAATACAAATTAAGACCGAAAATCTGAAAAGTTAAAATGAATATATTAAAACCTTTTTGGTTGTATTTGAAATTGAATCTTTTAGAAATAAGTCACTAAGTGGAATAAGTATCATTTATTTTCACAAAATATTATTTAGTTTCGGACAGGAAAATAAGTATATCAATAAAACGTAATTAAGCAGTTTTTGACAGGAAAAACATATTTCAACGTATATATTACGTGTATGTATACACTACTACGGGACGTTGAAATAAGCCGGTATAATGTCTAATACATGTATTATTGGTTAGGGTTATGTGTGTGTCTCCCCTTCCTGATCTGCACTTGTATACATAATCATAATGTCCTTTTTTTGCAAACTGTATGTCAAAATATTTTTGCACATTTTTACGACCTGGTCAATGTCTTGATCATAAAATTTGTTTTCCGCTATTTTTACAACGTTTAAAAAACTGCCTAAAATATCATAATTTCATAGGTTGGGGTTAGTCAGACCAACCCCCAAAGCGATACGTCCCTGTAAACACTCTATTGATATATTTGTAATATTTAAACACAAATGGGACATCTGTTTAAACCATAAAACTCTTGTTTTTAAACAATTTTTACATACAGTATATGAAAAACAATACCGTTTACGATCAAGTCTTAATACATTTAATAAGATTGCAAAATATGAATTAACATTAATATGAATTAACATGAAATAAAATATGAATTTAAACATTCATTTAAACGTTAAAGATAGATCTTGTTGCATTATGATAACAAAATATAATGATATCCGAAAATTACATCCTATCCGATTAATGATCACCACACTTAAAGCACCAACATTCAAGAAAATCTTAATAACACTTCTTTAAATATGATCCACGTGGAGTTCGTTTATGAAACAAACATTAAATAAACATTAAATACAGTGAAATTGTCATGAAATGTCTGTGGTTAATGTAGTTCTGGCTTCCAAAACTTTATAAGCCGCTCTTTAACATTTTTGTTTTTCATCAATGCGGCATTAAAGTTTTGGATTAGACCCGTTACGAAACCTAACCAGAATAACATTAGTTGATTTATTCTTGTTTTTCACTTGCAAATACACTTGACCGAATCAATTCTTGTGCATATTACGATAAAACAATTATTTTAATATCATTCTATACCAATTAAAGTATCAAAATATTTATACCGTCATTAAAATTGCCTATTTAACTGTAAAACATCAATTTATGCCGACTACAGTCGGCCATGACATTCAGGTGCCACGCGAGACCTCGTATGACGTCATTCGCGGGAACAGATTTGAATAGAGTCGTGTACTATATTTAGAACATTTTGTTGACATGATTTCAATATTTTTATTCAAGATAATGTTTTTATTTATTTTCATAAATTTTTCAGTACTTTAATATGATTTTATTGAATATAAAAGTCAGTAAATCACCTTTTTCAATATCTTTAAAAAAAGTTATGTACAAAAATATTTGAGGCACATGGGTTCATAAAGGTCAATCTCGTAATCACGTGGTCAAACATTTTGGCAATATGGCGGCCAAGTGCCGAAATTTTTACCTGTCGGAAACTATTAGGTAGTTTATGTTCCTAATAAGATTTTTATTTGTCCATCCTTGGCTTATCAACAGATTATATATAGTTTTATCAAGGTATGCTTTACTTTACTTCATGGCATGTTCGATGAATAAATACGAGCGTGTCAGATTCCTGGCACGATTATTGGTGGACTTTCCCTACGGGGTTATCTTCAGCGTTCACGTCATGTCATAGTATATAAACGGGTACGCTGAAGACCTTAAGCTATGGTTAATGCGTGTCAAGTCAAATTCGAAATCGAAAGTAGAAACCTTTTGAGACTGTTATTTTCTTCAGTTATGATTAATTATTATCATAATCAATAAACATTATGAAAAGTGATAACAATATTTAGATAAGCTCTAACGGAAGACGAAAATAAAATATCAAATAATTTACACACCTTTTGAATTTGAAGAACGTTAAAGCTGTTGGCCAAAGGGGACGTAACTGTTCTCACCGGAGGTCAGATCAACTCGTGCCCTCGTCAACTCGTCCCGTGGTTAACTCGTCCCATCAACAACTCGTCCCGTATCATCAATGCGGTCCATGCTCTAATAAAAACGTTACTAGATATTAATATGTCCATGTTCTTCTTTTCTTTTTTTTAAGTATTACCTCTGTGAGGGATAAACTTTTTATGTAAAGCCACCCTCTTATACGAGACATAAACAAATTGTCTTTTAAATTCTCAGCACACTCAATTTTTTTACAATCTTAAAGTTTTGATATACCGCGAACTGTCCATTAACTTTTGTTTTTTCAATTTTCTCCACTATTCATAATTGATTGACTTCGGGCATACAATTTTGTTTAAAAAAATCGTCACATTTTAAAGATTTCTTATGACACATGTGTACCAACGATCACAAAACACACTTTGTATTTGTATCAGGATATATGATATCTATAAGGCATGGGGTACTGATCAATTATCAGGCTGAATAAAAAGTCCCTGTGCCTAAAATCAAAATATAGTCTTATATGAAAAACCTGTTGCTCGTATGTTTTATATCAAAATTAAAATTGGAAAATAATTTTTGTCCTATTAAATTGAAATTCATTTTAAATAGAGTAATAAAATATATAACACGTGTACATTGACATGATGTAATAAATGTTTTATTTGCGATTCTTATTAATTTACATATTTTAGTAACATACATATTACTAGTAACTGATCATTAAAGTGCATAACTTTGATATAATGTTTAAAATAACTTGTAATTGACATTTCGGACCAGACAATTAATTCGGAACAGAGTTTTAATCATTTTGGACCAGATTTTGGTATATATCAAACCGTGATAGACATTTCGGACCATGAATAAGAACTTTTTTTATCTTATGGTCATTGGACCAATTAGTTCTATGTTGTAGTTTATTTTATAATTATTTTAATTATTTTTATTTTGATTTCAGGCTGAAATTTTGCATGATAATTTCAACAAATATTACACTATTTCTATATTTTATGATGTTTCAAATGCATGCAGATCAGGACCAGAAGTTTGGACATTTCAAACAAGATTTTAAGGCTCTATTGTATCCAGTCTGTCTGTCTGTCCGTCTGTCTGTCTTTTTGTATGTATTTATTATATTTCAGGCACTGTGAGTCCAGACCACAATTAAGGGATTTTTTTTAACATATATACCGACTAAATAGTGAACTTGGCAGACCATGCCCAGACGGCATGCATTTTCTTCCTAATCTTTGTCTGTACTTGTCGTTTGCGTACAGTCATTATGCTGCTGGCAGGCTTAAAGTTAAGGAATATAGTGCAACTAAAAATAAATCTACATTTAAGATTTAACAACAGGTTCGTGAACATGCAAGGTGCAAAATGATTAGTTTTTAAGGTTTAATCCACAATTCTTTGAGAGACGGGGATCGAATTTTTATTAATTTATTTATATACTTTTATAAAAAATCGTGGCGCACATTAAATTTATATAATAATTTATGCTGTACTTCATCAGTGAATTCATCACTTGTAGATCATTCACTTTTATCAAAATATAATAAACACATGATGAATTGTTGTATAGATCTTTAATCATTATCATAATAATATACGAAGAATAATTATAAACAAATGCTCAGTAACAGCTCAAAGACGAAACGTTGATGGCTTCTTTCCAAATTTATAGTACAAAACCTGGTCTTTCAAATAATGAAAGTCTATGTAAAAGTTGAGAAAAGTTTGAGTCTGCATTTAAGTAGAAAAAACATAGAAAAAGTAATAAAGATAATTGAGACTACTGTTCTTTGTTAATATGTTAATCTTTAAGTAAAAAAAAAATGGTGATGATGGTGGTAAAGGGAATTAATTATACGAAAATGCCACTTAAACATTTCAACACTTTTAATAGAAATATGAACTGTTCATTTTAGTCACTGAAATGTTTAAATTCAAATATTTGGTAAGAAATCAATTTCCATTGAACAATATAGAATACATGTTTGAAAACAGTATGCTGCCTGTTATTCTTTATCATATACTCTAGTGGTTGTGACGCCTTTCGCCGTCATTTTCTGAAACAGATAAAAAAGACAATCTTTAAAAAAAAGAAGAAGATATACGGGGTTGATGCCGATATTTATCGATATGTGCAATGCTCGATGTATATTCGATATATATTTAATTAACTTCATCTGATCAATTATTGCCACGCGAAAAATAATTTTGCCGTATTTGCTCTCAATGACGGATTATTTTGTACTAGATCTACAACAGCTACAACAATAAGGTTACGGAGGGATTCGCAATTCCTTAAAATTTCTATTATTTTTGCGCACTGCAGTTTATTCCCAACAAACAGTATGCCCAGTGCTACGAGTAGTGCCGAGTGAATTGCGTGCGTGTTGTGCATATATAGTTAGCAGTAAAAATCGTTCTTTCATTAAATATAGTTTAGTGAAAAATGTTCATGCAGTGGGTAGTGCTTACATAAATAATGTTCATAACAACATTCATGAAGTGAACATTGCTGTATGGTTTATTACTCATGCAGCGAACCGGGTTGAGTAATTAATAATTATGCATTGGTCTTGCTCTGTAGATAATGTTCATAAAGTGTACGTATGGTGCTTAGAGAATCATACATCTAGTGATCGGTGGTTTGACTAAGTGACTCAGCGAACATTATTTATGAACAGTGCCCTGTGAAACATATTTATGCAGTTAACAGTGCTCGGTGGATATTATTCATATATATTTAGTGGGTAGTGCTCAGTGAATAATTTTCATGGAGTGTTTAGTGATTATATAGTGCTTAGTGAACAACATTCATGTAGTGAACAGTGCACGTGCTCAATTAATAATGTTCATGTAGTGAGCAGTTCTTTGTGAATAATGTTCATGCAGAGGCACTTAATTAGAACTGATGCGTCCCTTTCTATTAAACAGAGGAAAGAAATAATCTTCCTCAAAAGCCTTCAAATAATAAAAATCTATAAATCTTACATACCAACACGAGTTGACTCCCTTGCCTGTAACGAATATTTACAGCTTCAAACGCCCCTGTTTGATTCTCTACAAGTTTATCACCATCTACACTAAATACGCACTGAAATTAATACAAAAAAAATAAAATGTTCTATCTTCGATTTTATTATATATGCGAATATATCAAATGTACATTGTATTCATATTTTCTTTTCAACTGCATCTTGTATTTAAACTGGAGAATGACCAAATTCATGCTGAACTAAAGCTGATAAGAATAAATTAATTAATGAATATTAATCTCGGATGATATAACTCAAAAATAGTAGAGAAAGTAAGCAGACGTTGAAAATAATTAACTCCAAGATAGACCACTTAATCATTAAAAAGCATCCCTCTAGCTTGAGCAGAAAAAAGTAACAAAATAATAGGAACACGCAAACATGCGCACGCTGAACACGCAGGCATTTATTCACGCGTACGCACGCACGATATATATGTAATGTTAAGCCACATACAACATTCGTCCATCGAAAAATGGCATGTCAACTGGTTGACCCATCTTGGTGTCGATTTTTATCGTCTTTCCGGGAATATTATATATGATAGACACGTTGTCCCCGTCAATATTTATATATTGGGTGCCGTTACTTCCTAGACTCATCAACTTTATTGCCAAATCCTTGTTCTCAGCAGTTGTCCCTGTCATGTATGTATGTGATACAATGTTTGAGGTACAAAATAGTACAGGAACCGATTTTTTTAGAATGAAAACCCGAATAGATTGGAATTGGATTCATATCTATAGACAGTGATAAGATTGATTTTAAATTGAAAAATTGGCGTTTGACAATTGTGTGAACCCTACTTTATACTTGCTGAACACTTATGTCTCAGAAATGAATAAATATTTAATTCTTTAGTTTAGAAAGAAAAGATATGCGTTTTATAATGTTTAAATATTGGCTTTAAAACATGTTAAATGTTCTTTGTTCACTATACAGTATTGTACTTTTATATACATTTCAAAAATGTTCGTGAATCTGGAGGCATTCTGCTTTGAAAAACATAAACATACTTAATCTTAATTATAAATTGTTGTAACTAAGGAGTTATTTATATATTAAGATATTTTGAAGATTTATACATTAACAGTATTAACAATTATTACCCTTTTTCATTGACTATTTGGTTATTCTAGATATAGTCACTGATGAGTTATCACCATCTAATTATCTAATTATTGTCATCTATTGAAAATGATGAAAAACGTTCATACCTAAAACATCGCAGATTTCGGGTATATTTTCTGCGGATACCAATTTCCATTTTCCGTTCATATCCATTTTTTTCTCTCACTGATTATTTATATAATTATATAATATATTATTATTATTGTTATAATTATTGCTTTAATTTACTGACGATTAATAAATTTGTGAGCAGGAAATCAGCAATTAGATTGAGAACAATAAGACAGGAAGACGAAGTGTTTGTTAATATAAATATATCCGCCCACGTCCCCTACAGAAATAAACACTCCTCAAACAGCATACGGATATCTTCATTCGAAATCTGAGGCATCTTATTATTGTATAAGAAATTTTATTTTCATTCCAGCTAGTTTTCTGTTAAAATAATCTACCGATGTTTATTGTGTGAGAAAGATTTTGAAATTCCTAGCAAGATGCCTGTAAGCTAAGACAAGATGTTATCCGAAATTAATGTATAGATTCGTCATTGTTAAATAAGACAGGAATTCCCATTCCGTAGAAACAAACGCTCAGTTAATCAAAACATCGCAACTCCCAATGTTTCAGTCCTTTCCGTTGAACAGGTATAAGGACAATTGGTAATCGGCAATCGGCGAAGTGTTCGTTGCTGCACTGCACAAGAATATACAAAATTCAAGTTGTACGCCAGTCAGATTGGTGAATATTGTCCCTTCAGGTAATACTGTCAGAGTTGGAAATTATATCTAGTGGCATCTATGTAGTAGCATATAATGTTAAATGTTTGCTGGCGTGCTGAACTGCACATTTTTCTTCCAAATTTAAGTATGCTAAAACAGTCACTATATAGCTATGTTAAAAAAATGTGCACCTTTAAATACAAAACAATTAAATGCTTTTCGTTGTTGTTGTTCTTTTTGTTGTTGTTGTTGTTCAAATACAAAAGTTATATCAGGGTTTTTTTTTCAAATAGAATTTGAAACACCCTGATCATAATTATATTATACCAGATATTTAAATAAATTACCACATCAAATGTAGTTCTATGATTATACCTGGGACTTACTCATATATTTTAAATCTCAGATTATACAAAATGGGAAGAGACTGTTTACATAGATAGTCTGAGATAGTGCACAGCAATCTGCATTAATGTAAATAGCGTAGATGAGAAAACATGATATTGCAGAAAATTTATATTTCCAGGTGTTTGGTATCACAGTATAGATCTACAGCAGCAATGAGTACTTTTCTTTTCAACGCCTAGCCGAATTTATCCTAAGTTTTACTAGGTGTGAATTTGTCTTTTTTTTGCTAATTGATTCTCTTAGGCATGTCCCATGACTATAACACCTTGTTCATGCCGTAACGTAACATAGGGATTTTAAACTATTTGAAAGACCCCGGATGAAATAAATAACGCAGTACTTTTGTTACGCCGGTTACCAGTTACCGTGCTGGCCGTTTCAGCTATATTGCGTCATATCCGGCGTTTCTACGTTATCGTTACAGATATAATGACCACGGTGTGTCACAGTCGGTGTACGCGTGCAAATTTAGACATTGACCTTTAATGGACCTTGACCGTCACGGTCGAATTATTGTGATTCTCTTGGGTTTTTTTCCCTATAACAGGATTTAACTTTTTATTTATAAATTGATTAACTTTATATTTAGAAACAACATCCTTTGGGATAAGACTTTATGTATATCAAACTCCAATTGACCTTGACTCATGTATGACCTAGACATTGAATGTCGTATCATTGAATTTTTACTGATTTGTGCTATAATAACTTTGTAATTTATTAATGAATTATTATACTTGGACAAAATAACCCTTCGTACAAATCCTTAAGTATAGAAAATTAAATTGATCGTGAGTTTTAAATGACATTGACTGTCAAGGTCAAATGATTATTTTGTTTAATTGTCATAACTTTGATATGTATGTGCTGATTTTATTCATACGTGTACAAAACAACACCTGTGACCAGACGGAAATGTTGAATAATTTAGATATAACCTTGACCTATAAATGACTTTAACCGTCAAGGTCGAATGATTGAATTTTGCTAACATTTTCTAAACTTTGTCATTTATTTATGGAAATGACAAAACAACAGTTTAAATAGACCGACCTATTAAAATTACAAAGTTTAAAAACTATTTTTTTGTTTAATTTTCTTTTTAAAGATTTCTTTAAAGTTTTTAACCTTACATTTGTTTGCTTTTAGAAAAAGTGAAAAATAGGCGAGCGTTGCCCCCGCCCGGCGGTGGCTCTTGTTCATCTTTAATCTAATTTGTCTCACACAAATACAACTTTTAAACGATCTCTGTCTGTTTGTTTTCTGCTGTCAATTAAGACACTGGTTACAATTTTTACATTGCACTGTTTTATGACTTATTAAAGTAATAAGTTTAGAATAAGTTTTGATTATTTTTAAGCACTGTATGTCTGAAAATAAGTTATCTGGTAAACCGTCATCAAAGATGCCTTTCAAACATCCTTAGTGTTTGAAATTATTTTTTGTCCAATAGGATCGCAGTATTTCAAATGAATCTTAACACATTTACTTTGGTAAATCGGCAAACTGTTAATCAGTCAGTTAATCGACTGTTTATAAAAAATAATTTAAAACAGGTTTAAGCAGGTTAAAATTTATTAGTACGTATTTACAAAAATAAATTGCCACGCCTTACCAATTTATTTTTGTAAATACGAACTAATAAACCTTAACCTATACATAAAATATTTTAATTTTAAACCTGCATCATATCTAAAAAATCTTAAAACAGATTCAACTGTTAAACATAAGCAACTATTTTATGATTATAAGCCAGAAAATTTTGTCAAGCCAATTACTGAAAACAATAGGCCCATCATAATTACAAGAGGTTGTGGTAAACTTCAAGAGGTTGTGTTATAAGTCTAATTAGGACTTTGGTTTGGTATATATTTATTCATGTATTTTTGTTCTGTTCTGTTTAAATGCGTTTATTTTTTTAGTCGTTTTGTTAGTCATGTTTTGTTATGCATGTTCATCATTTGGTAATTTCGTTTTTAATTTTATAGAAAATTTTGATACACAATCTCCAATAAAAACTTAAAATCTGGAATATTTTGTTAATTATATAATCAATTTATCCTTTCTGTCCCCAATTAATGCCAGACCAACAGCACACTTGAATCATGTAATATATGCATATTGATGATCACTTGATCATGCATATTGAAAAGCTTTCATTATCTCAACAACAAGTTTATCGCATACAACACTTTCAGTGCTTTGATTATGCAATTTATTGGCGTCCGCGCCGAAGCGCGGCGCCCCTTATGGAATGAGAAAGGGCGACAGCAACTTCTCGAGCCATTTAGTCGGCCATAATAAAAGCCGATCATTCCGATCGGTATGTGGGTGCTTGATTAATTCTCCTGACCTGCAGATCATTGAAATGTTTCGTGGTTTTACATCTTTTTATCTAAGCGACGAGACTATAGTGTACGTCTTCTCCAAATCCCTCCAGAGGCGTGCACGTCGCGGAGAAGGCAGACGGCAGGTCAAGGTCAAATCATCTCAAGTACCAGAGGTGATTGGTTGACCTGTCGTGACTAACTCTGGAGGGTGGCGCTAACAAGAGCCGTTTTATGTCAACCGCCTGTTTGCAGCCGTCACGGAACTTGATGCTTTTCCGGTATTGTCTTTCCTCCATCGAACGAAGTACAGGACTTAGGAAGATCGGCATGAAAAAGACGTCCCCGATGAGACTTCTAGAGTGGACCGGCATGGACGCTGAGATCTCGGACATATGGAATTTCCGGCGCCGAGCTAAAATAAACCTAATACAACAACAACAAAAGAGTGTACGTAGTTTCAAAGCTTTCATCAAATGTGTATAGTCGATGAACTGGCTGTAAATGTGAAATATATGTATTTGTTTTATTTCGTTATAAGTACATGTATTAAGCGTTGTTACAGGTACATCTATATTGTATATCTTCCCAAGATACTTTTGTTTCGTTTTGATAAGAATCTTTAGCAAGAGGATATATTGCTGAATACAATATCTCAAAACTTCCGTTTGCTTCCTCAGGTGTATATATTTTTTCTATGTTAAATGATTATTTACCTTATTTATATTATTTATCAATTCTGTGTTTATTCAATATTTGTTACATTAACCATTGTTACAGGTACATCTATATTGTATATCCTCCCAAGATACTTTTGTTTCGCTCCAATAAGAATCTTAAGCGCTGAATACAATATTTCAATTTCGTTTGCTTCCTCATATGTATATATTGTTTCTATGTTAAATAAGTATTTACCTTATTTATATTATTTATAAATTCTGTGTTTATTCAATATTTGTTACATTAATATAATTATACATGTATTCATATGTTTGTCAGTCATACATTTATGTACATGTAATGATTTATGTACTTTTTGTAAGAACTGTATTGTAAATGTATGTACTCTTCAAAACTGGAGGAAATAAAGAAATATATATATATAATTTAAAATGAAATGTCGCGATATGTACAATGAATAGCGATCTGGAGAATTTCGCAATGCAAACACTTTCAAATGAAATAACCTTTTCCGTAAATAAATCGCGCTCTTCGGGGTATTTTTATTTATCATTTTGTAGCCCACATTGGGTTATTATGATATGTTATTGTTGTACATTTATAATAGAATGATGAGTTGATGACCTAAATATTCCGAAAATTTATTTATAGAGGGTTGTACTCCTATCGGTAATTCCCGGTCTCTCCATGTCTATTTTGAGTGACTTTTGACCGGGATTTACTAGTGACCGGCAAATAGTTCTACACGTTTATTGTCGGGTCTCTCCCGGTTCACAGACACTTTGGGTTTGGAGCTCAAAACGGCTATAAAATCCAAATAAAATGCATATTTGTCAATCCCAGCACATGTACTGATCATATATATCAAAAAAACTTAATATAAGCCGTTTTGAAAAAAAATCATATTTCAACATCTATGATAATACATATACATATACATATTATTATATTATTATATATTGTATTATTATAGATATTGAACTGGGATTGACAAATATGCATTTTATTTGGATTTTAAAGGCGTTTTGAGCTCCAAACCCCAAGTGTCTGTGTATAAACTTTGAAACATTTCATTTAATTTGTTATTCGTGTTTAGTAAAGATGCCGAGGAATTATTCAAATTTGCAAATGAGATTTTATGAATTATTCAACTGATTGATAATTTAAAAAATACAAATGTACATGTATATGGTTTAAGAATAAACAATGTTATATATTGAAAGATTAACCATAATCATTTACTGACTTTTCCAGTTAAGTTTTGACTTATAATCGTCGGTCAATATGACAAATGAATTCTTAAAATCGTAGTAAAAACATAAAAACTCAGTATTAAAATAGCACACAAAACACAAAAAGAAAAGAAAACAATATTCATAAAATCTGTATTTTTTATTAAAATAGATATTACAATTATTGTATAATAAACAATTATGCTCAACATGATCAACATGGTAATATAACCGGTGTCATATTGTTACTAAGTGTGAACAGATACCTTAAGAGGGGGTCTTGGCTAATAGCGATAACATAATAAGGGACAATTACACAAGTGTGGTGTTGATCATGCGTTACACATATGGATTATAAATGATTGTATAAATGTATATCCGTTGCTATTAATAACCACGATCATAAAGAAATAACAAGTAATATTCTAATTTCTAGCATGCCAATCAAAGTTAATAATGAACAATGTCTTTTGTCCGTTCATTCATAACTGATATACAATTCTGGTAAAACCAATTAACCATTGAAAAGTTAAAAAGAATATCTTGTCATCATATATCTACTAGTTCATCTTCACCTGCTGCATTTCTTGCTTGGACGCCCTTTGATGCTTTGCATCAATGCTTTTCTTGTTTCCGTCTGACACATGCTCAATATCGTATGAAAGTAATGTAAAAGTTACTTCCCTTTTATTGAGATTAACCATTTGTACTACCATAACGGTCAACTGTCACTGTGATTTAGGGCACTGTAATTGATCTGATATTGTAGAATTGTTTTGTGATTTTTACTTATCATTAAGTTCATACTCATGTAACAAAGTTACGAAAAATCAAACCAGATTTCTACTCATTTTGAAATCCAGTTTACGTCATATGACATATAACTTGAAACTGTTGAACTGTTGAATGAACACTGATAAATGAAAATATGCATTCTGCTTGAAATTCATGATCATTTGGCAATTTAGAATATTATTTAAAAACATCTCAGTGAGAGGTTTTTCAGTTTTCATTTCCTCTTAAACATGCCAAGCCATTTAATTTTTGTGTTATTGCCTTGTACTGTAACACTTTTCAGATATTTTTTCTTTCATTTTAGTTACATTGCTGTCAGTGATTTTTCACCTGATATTGCAGAGGCCTCTTAAGGCCTTTTTAAAAGAGTCCTTTTCCCAATTAAAATTTTCTTTAATTAAAATTGTGCAGTTTTCTCAAAAATTGGAACTTACACCAGCTTTTTTACTTCCCAAATAAGCAATTCTAGCAATAATAAGAAATTGTTCACTAAGGAAGGCCTCTTTCAAAATAAGTGATTCACCACTGTTTTTACACATATGTTCATGGTACATGTATGCTCGTATACAAGTGTTACTGTTCACATACTCTTTTTAGCTAAAAGGCAGAATATATCAGCTGTGATGGCCGATGGTAACAATGATAATGATTCATCAACTACAAGTCCTGGGTTAGGAATGAAGCTGACAATAGCTGGTATCAAGAAGAAATTTCCGTCAGTCAAAAATATCTCAACAGAATTGCTGTCAACTTTGATGAAATCATGTCTAAAATCCTCATCTGCTGTGTCGGAGGGGAATGAAAAACTTTTGATTCTGGTAAGAATTTTTTTTTGCAATCAATTAACTATGGCTACATATGCCCATTTGGTCCCAATCATAAAAAACTGGGCATTTGTTTACCCAATACTTTGTAGGCAGCAGTTCGCAATATATATCTGATGTAAAAAGTATCTTCAAATTCAACGATTATAGTTGAAAATCAGGTCTAGAAATGTAGTCAAAGATTTTAGGGCAAGATACATGTACATGTAGCCAAAAGCCTTTCAGGTTAGTATGTTGCTTTTCCTTGTTGATCTTTATTCTCATTATTTGTACAAGTTCAATCGCTGAAAAAGCCCAAAAATGTTATTGAAAGTAAAGTCAAGAATAATGATTAAATACATATAGTTTTGTAATTTTATCCCAGCATTAACCAAGGATAAAAAAGTTTTCACACCCCATCAAGGGAAAACCATTGCTTCCTTGAGCAAGAAACTTTACACTCATTGTCCTGTACTGGTTGGTTCCAGGAATGGATTAGAGAGTATGTATATAACCTTAAAGCTTCCTTGAACTAAAAAATAAATTATGTTTAAACTAAAAAAGTTGTTCCTTCTTGAAATTCATTCATTTCATTTTCAGAAAATTACATGTAGGTGATCAACTGTTAATTTTTCATAGACCAGAAAGGCCAGTGACTTGAAAAATTCTACAGGCCCAACCCAAATTATATTAGCCCTACCAAGCTAGTGGGTTTATGTAAAATTCACAGACTTACTACTGTAAAGGCTAGCCATAGTTAATGCTTGACTGCAATAGATTAACTTTATACTGTAAAAAATATATGTATAAAAACAATGAAGAGTTTACATGAAGAAGTACCAGTAAGTTATTGTTTGGGAAAACTTGCCATTTTACATTAGAAACATAATATTTTTGTTGTTGTACAATGAAACAACAAAAAATATGCATTTTTCCTAAAGAGTAAGCTGTTTCAGAGAAAAGTCAAACATTTTTTATTCAAAATATCTTTTTTAAAACTTCTAATATTTAACTTTTTTATCTTCAATTTCTGGGTATTTCAATACTGGATTTGATAAATCATTCATTGAAGTATAGGAAAGTCAATTTATGCATTTCAGGATTCAAGACCTAATGAAGAATATATAATAGGTCATATACCAGGAGCTAGAAGAGTTGATTATGAAGCAGATCTTGATACTTTAATGTCAGCCGTTCCAGAATTACAATCAGGTTTGTCATTTAGACTATGATCTGTTACATGTATGTATCCAGAGGGGTAGGAAGATTATGTTCTAGACTTGCTCCCAAGAATTTAAGGCAAAGCACATCTTTTCTGTTGGTTTGTGGAGTAAAACATGTTTCTGACATGTAATTTTTGTCATGTAACATGACTGTCATGTTATTTTTCATTGTACAGATATAACATGTGAAATGAAATTACAGGTATTTTGAATAGAAATATTATGTGACATGTGATTTTCTGTTGTTTTGGGCAGAAATAACGTCATACGTCATCTATTTTCTGTAGTTTGAACTGTCAAATTTATCACTGAAAATGTTAAAGTATTCTTTTTTTTCAGAAACTGCTTGCCACATTGCAGGTTCACATATTACATACAATATGATTATACACTTTACTTACTGTGTAAATATATGTTCAATATTGTAATTATTTGTTTTTATTTTCGAAATATGACTTTGTACATATGAATTTGTTGTTTTCTTTCAGCACCCGAGGACAAAGTCACTGTTGTGTGCTATTGTTCTGTTGGATACAGATCTTCAGTTGTGGCACAAAAAATTTCTGGGTATATTAAAACAAAAGGTGATTATCTTTCTTATTTCAAATCTTCATTGCTGCTATTTGAGAGCCAGGCCATCCTGCACTTTAGTACAGTCTGACCAGCTTTGCCTGCTGAATTTCTTTATCAGATTTGTCCATCTTTTATTTTTAACTTTATTTTTTCCAAAGAAAAATTTCTAGCTATTGGAACAGTCATGGAGTTGATGCCACAGCCATCTGCAAACTTAACCATTGATCATAATTTTGTCACAGGGTGAGAAATATGTGCAGCCTGACCGGGACTCGAACCCTGGACCCTCGGAATACTGTTAGTTAGTTTGTTAGGGTTTAACGTCACACCGACACAGTATAGGTCATTTGGGGACGTTCCAGCTTTACTGGTGGAGGAAGACCTCAGGTGCCCTTACGTGCATTATTTTAGGCACAAACGGGCACCTGAGTAGAACCACTGACATTCCGTAAGCTAGCTTGATAGCTTCCTCATATAAAAGAATCCAAAGTCCCTGTCGGGATTCGAACCCTCAGTGGTGAGGGGCGAGTGGTTTAAAGTCAACAACCTTAACCACTCGGCCACGGATGCTGTACTGCAGCTCTACCAACGGAGCTATCCAGCCGCATACACATCTTCTCCCCTAAATAGTGAACAGTTCTGAACCGTGACAATTTTTTGAATTCTTAAAGGATTGTCTTCATACTTCATACTTAGACACAAATCGCCTTGGACAAAACCTTCAAGAAAACCAGACTGAACTTGAACTTTAGTTTAATAAATGACTTGATCTATAGGTCAGATTTTGAATTTTGTTTGATTTTTTGCTACAAGTTGAATACTTTGTTATTTGTGAATGGGTTATGTTCATTAAGGTTGGACACAACAGTCTTTGGGACTGACAAGTTTCAAGGAGGTCAAACTGAACTTGACCTTGACTCATAAATGATATTGACCTTGAAGTTCAAATTAATAATTTTGGCTTTACTGTCGTTTATAAATGGATTGTATTCATACTGAGACACATCAATCTTTAGGGAGTAATCTTCATGAAGACCATACTGAATTTGACCTTGGCCCATTAAAGACTTAGTCCTTGAAGGTCAAATTACTGAATTTTCACATTATTTTGCTATAATTAACTATAACTTTGTAATTTATGAATGGAATGCCTTCATACTAATGAATACCTGAACTGTATTGTCAAGGTTTGAATCACAAATATAAGAATATCTGAGTAATTCGTTACAGCCCTAGTACATGCACATTGTATTTTGATATTGAAATCTTTCTAACTTAAAATGGACTGTTCCAAACTCAAAGCAGGGCAAGTCCACTCAAATTCAGCAGGTAAAGCTGTTATTTTTACAGGGTATTTGCATTTAACCAACAACTAACCGTTTTCACTATTTCAGGGCTACAAGAATCAGGAAATATTAAAGTATTCAACCTCGAAGGCAGCATATTTAAATGGGCCAATGAAAATCGTCCAATGGTAGACAACAAGGACAGGAAAACAATATTTACACATCCCTATAATGTAGTGTTTGGTAAATTATTAAGAAAAGAACTGCGTAAGACGGCCCTTGAAGAGGACTCTAAAATTTAATGTGATACATTTTTTATACTGTTAAAATTTGATATTCCTCTGTACATACTTTGAACATTTTGATATTTGTTGTGATTTAATCTATAGATTGGTTTTGAGCAAAACATTTTCCAGAATTGGTGTATGTCAACAGCTTCTTTCAAACAAATGGAAAGAAAATGTAAACAAATAGTTAAAAATATCTGAATGAAATTTCATTTATATCATGTGGAAGTATTGCATATTGATAAGAGTTATATTGAACTTTCTTTTCATTTGTATGGTTAATTTTTAAATGTTCTTCAGACTCAGGAATTTACAGACATTTACATTTTACTCATAAACATGACATATCTTCTTTTAAGTATTCAGGGGCCTCAATGACTGAGTGGTCACAAGGCCTCTATCACTGAGTCACTTGCCCCTGCCATCTAAGTTTGAATCCTGTCAAGGAATTTTTATTTTTTCATCTGAGAAAGATATCTAGCTAGCTGATGGGAAGTCAGTGCCTGCTTGTGCTTGAAATAATATATGGAGGGGCATCTGAAGTCTTTCTCTGCCAATTAAACTAAAAGTGACGACATGACCTTTTGTATCAATGTTACCAACACCAGCCAAATAAATGAATTACATTAAGGTATTCACTTTTCTTTACACTTTAATTCTTAACCTGCAGAATTTTTGTAGCTTTTAATTTGGAACAGTCACAGAGATACAGGGATTTTAATATGAAAGTACATGTATAAAATTATAACTACCAACAGTATAGAGCCGTGTCTCAGACTGTCATGACTCACTCAGTGCAGGTGTCAGATGCTTATCACTTCTGTCCAGGCAGAGTATGGGTTAAGTAACCTCAAGGACGCTGAAGTTATGGATCATGTGTGCAAATGAAAGTTTTGTTTTTTTTAAAGCCACATGCCTCCAGATTGAGCCAAAATATTTTTTTAAAAAAATCAACCTTGAGAAAAATGTTAAAGATTTTAAGAAAGGTAAAAATATTAATAATCACAATTCAAGGACTCGTTTACATGTTATATGCACATAATGACTGATTTTGCAGCATTTATCACCATCTTTCTACTGCATGATTAATGCAGTAAGGGCTATTTTTGCATATTCTGACATATTTTTGGTGATATTCATAGATTTTAAGTGCTGTTTGTGTAAATTACTTACTTTGTTCACTTTATTTGACAATTTTTTACTTTTTTTAACATTTAAAAAAATTTCATGTAAATTAGCTAAAATATGGAGGCATGTTGCTTTAAGTCAGTATTTTTATCGCACTCCCTCGGGTATCAGACTTTCGTTAAGTTTTTGCGTAAAAAGTTGAAATTTCCTATACTACTGAAGGAAATGGGTTGAATCTTTAAACACCTATTTGAGAGCATAACAGGTCACTATCAAAGACCCATAACTCTAACAGTTAGAATTGTGGCTCTTTTAGAACTTAGAAAAATCTACATAATATCAAAGCTCTTGTTTTACTATCAAGCACTGAGAATAGTCAAGCATGCTGTCCTACCGACAGCTCTTGTTTTGTATATTTTTTTCATTTATCAGTTTCCAATTGATCATTTACATTATTTTATATTTGTCATTTTAGTTAAGTGACCTCAAGGATGATGAAATAATGTGTCATGTGTGCAAATATATATATTTTATTTGTTGTATATTTTCTCATTATCAGTTTTCATTTGGCAATTTATATTGTTTAATAAAAGTGATATTAAATATTACACTTTTTTTTTTACTGTATTTTTTTCTTTGCTTAAAGGTCCATTAAGCCTCTGCAGTCAGAAATTCTAATATCTTTTTCTTTTATAAAAGCTTTTAAATTTGTGTGTCCTATTACAGTTTTCAAAGGTTTTTCGTCTTGAGCCTGTTTAATGTTTTGGCGATTAGTAGTTACACTAATTTGATACTTTGTATTCAAGTCAAAATATCTCTCTGTTTACATTTTCCTATCTTGATCACATTTTATTTTATATTCAGTGCTATTTTCATAAGCATCATGCATGTTTTAAACCCATTAAGCAGATGTTTGTCATTCCTGTCGTAAGGAAAAAAAAATCCTTATTTCTGAGATTGAATGTGCCTTTAAAATAGGGCCTGCTGGCAACACTGTCCTTTATGTACAGTATAGCATAACACTTAATGTGAATACATGTTATCTTTCATGCCCATCAACAATTAAGTGGTTGCCATTGACTACCGTATTATGCAATTTCCGTAAACGACTAGTGATATCCAAAGAAATGATATTATGTCATTTACTAGGTCAATGTTCTTTAATAGGCCCAATTAAGACCTTGAACAGTAATGTGAAAAGTTCCAAACTGATATTTTGACAAGCTGCCTAACCACACTGTTAATTTTAGTCATTACTGTCAAATCTGTTGTGTCAAAATTCTGTGTTATACTCCCTTACATATCATTCAGGCCAGCAGATGATTCTGGTATAATTTATAATTGTTGAACAAAAGTTCAAATATTGTTATGTACCCTTAGAATTGATGTATTTAGTGCTCATCAATATCTTGGAACTTTTCTGTGACTGGCATGCTTAAAGGGATTAGCATGGATTATCATAACAGATATACATACACATATAACAGCACATACATTTTGTATTTGTTATACCTGTCCATGTGGTTGCCTGTGTCCCAGTAAGAATCAACCAATTTTAATATAAAAGGAATAATCTAATGATGTCTACTTGGACATTTTGTAAGGCAACTGACCTTGACTCAAATTGACCTTGACCTTCAAGGTTGACTCTTAATTTGCTGAAATTAGCTAGAACTTTGTTTTTAGTGGCATTATTGTTTTCATAATTGGACATTAATCCTTTTAATAAAAGCTTTGAGTATGTCAAATTCAACTAATGACTCTGACCTTTAAATAACCTGGACCTAACATTTTTTTTTTTTTTTTTGCTAAAATTAGCTATAGTTTTATTTGTTTATGGTTGACTTAGATTCATACTTGGAAAAAAAAAACAACACTTAGCATAAAACAAAACTATCATGTTTAGCAACTCAAGTTTGACCGTAAAATTACTATGACAATAATACTCAAGTAATTTAATTTAATTTTGCTGAAAGTATCCAAGTAACTTTATTATAATTAGATGTTCTATTATGTTCATTTTTGGGCATGAAAAAAATTAAGTAAATAAGTTCAAGTAGGTCAAATTGAACTTGGCTTTTACCTTTACACGACCTTGACTGTTTGGTAAAATTATGTTTGTTTTTTTTCTAAAATTGGCCACAATTTTAATAAATTGACATATTTGATTTATGCTTGGACAAACCAACACGTAACATAGTTTGTTGCCATGTTGTAACATAGCTTGTTGTCATGGGGAACGGTTCAGGTATGACCTTGACTTTAAAACTACCTTGATGGTTCAGGAAAATTGCTATAATTGCGTTTCTAATTGGACTGGCTGATTTCAATTACGTTTTGACAAACCACCACCAAGGATGAAATTATTAAGTGGAACAATTTATAAGCATTGCTTTGACCTTTTAATGACCTTGACCCCTGAAGTCAAATTGAATTTTTATAAAATTGGCCAAATCTTTGTTATAATTGTATGGATTTGATTTATATTTGGACATACCAATACTGGTCAAAATCTTCAAATGCTTTTACACAAATATGACACTGACCTTTAATTTTTTTTAGAAATGTATTTGAATTCTTTAAAACTAAGTTATTAATGCACAAATATGATAAATATTTTGACCCATTATATGATTACAAAATGCCTGAATTGAACATGGTTTGAAACATTAATTAATGTACTTTTTTACTTTATTGGAAATTTGTTATACACCTCTTTCTATGTTTTTGTTCCATTTGATAGGTCAGGTCTGGTCGCTCTTGTTTTAGGAATATTAAAGGCATCTGGGGGTTATTTTAACATATTTAGTTACCGTTATTCTAGTTGATACAGTACTTGTAAATGTTTTGACTATTCATTTTCCTCTTTGTTTCAGGCGTGTTTGTTTCATATATAAATCTTTGGGTTACTATCGCACTCTTCACTAAATATTTAGGAGGCGTGTCACATGAATTGAACAATTACAATGGCAAAAATAATTAATGTCCAGGGATATGACGCTTATAAAACTGCAGTTAAAGAGAACTCTGGGAAAACTATATTTGCATTGTTTACTGGATCACCCGGAGAAGACGGCAAAAGTTGGTGTCCCGACTGTGTAACGGGTATGTAAAGGGGAGTAATTAGCTTGTATCTTGATCAAAATGAAAGTGAAAGTAGAATTTGTACCCGGATCGTGCAATCTTTATCTTCGATAATATAAAAGTGCCGATGATAAAATGTTAATATTTCTATGGCCCTTATTGGTTTCCTAGCAGCTTCCGTCCCTAAATTGCACTTTTTTTACGAATGGATTAAAAAACTATAACTTTAATTAATAAAAAGGGCCTTCCATCAGAGCCCAAAATCGTCCTACAGGTAATAAATCCCGTATATATATGGATGATTAACGTGAAAAGGGCTTGAAAACTGCAATTCAATTTGGAATAAAAACGAAAAAATGTGTTACTTTTCTAGCCATATTGGTATTCTAAGTTGTTACATGTTATAAATAAAAATATACTTTTAAAATCTTAAATAATTTATCACATTGACCTGTTGAATGTTTCTTCATTGACAACACCAACATATATCAATTGTCAAGTCAGGTGTCATGGGATTGTTTAAAAGCGGCGTTTAAGCCCATGTGCTACCACGGATTTATATGTAATATAAATCCGTGGTGCTACTGAAACCTAAGTGATAAGCATTTGCCACCTGTATAGTCAGGTCATTGTTACTTACACTGTACTTAAAAAAATAAAAATCTTTATTTTGTTATCCCCACACATGAGTTTGACATTTAATGATTTCATTAAACATACATACCTAATTAATAATATGATTTATTTTTTGTTTAATCAGCTGATCCTGTAGTACAAAGTAGTTTGTCCAAACTGCCAGTAGATTCTGTGTACATACACTGTGGTGTCGGAGATAGAACATTGTAAGTTTGATGTGTGTTTTTGTTTTTTTCTGACATTGTAAGACAATGTTATCACATAAGGTGTGATGCAAGAGTGTAATAAATCCATTTAATAAAAACAATATTACACTAATGTAATAATACTTTGAAGTGATGTCATTTGCCTTATATACAAAGATAACGTTAAAAGCTTGCTCATGTTAGCATTACAATAATATGCATGTAAATGAAAAATGACCATTCATCAGCTGTAAACCATTCTTATTTTAGATATGTAATAAATGAAATATTATATTTGTGTAGATTCAATACTAAATTTATTGCACTTGTTGAATCAAACAGTATTATTCTCATCAGAGGCTCGTATTATATGATTTTGTACAACTTGTTCAATTAATTTAGTAGTAAATCTACACGTATTCAATATTCTTTATATATGATTTGTTATGTAATATAGTTTTATGTTTTATTATATTAAATGAATATTCTCTGCCTCTCTTCATTTACTTCCTATAATACTCTTCACATTTTTGCCAACAAGTCCCAAAACGTTTCTTGCAGCTACTTTTACATCCTACAGACTGGGAAAACTTCATCCCAATTTCAGAAAATGAGGACTGTCTATCCCTTTTACACAAAATCATTATCAAATTTCTAGATGTTATAATACAAAATGTTTGGACTTTGTTATTTAGTCTCATGGCCGACTGTCTGCAAGATCTATATTGGCAATCTGGCAGTTGGTTGCTTGTGTATGCATGATGATGATCCATCGGTCAGAGATAAACTTTCATAAAACTGAGATCTTACTAGATCACCGTAAGACCATAAAATTAACTACAAATATTCTATACATTTTATATCCATATTTCGAAACTGCCTTACACATTCTATGAAGGAATGCTCATCATACCAGTACATTATTTTTAGAAATCTTACAGTTAAATAATTTTTATACTTGTATTACTATATTCTGTACAAATGTGTACAGTCATGTTTTTATGAAATAGAACTCATTATTATACAGTAGACAATGATTATTATTGGAAATATTTTTTTGTATACATTAAATTTTATCACTGCTAACTTGAGTGAAAGTTTTTGCCTTCAAACATAATTTTAAATGTATATTTTCAGCTGGAAAGACCAGAACAATGTTTTTCGCACAGATAAAGATCTACGATTAAAAAGCGTTCCGACTTTGATGAAAATTGGACAGGTATTTTAATCTTTAAATATTTTGTTTCTAGGTTATTTCTCGCAATAAAAATCACAAATTTCATTTCGCGGATATTAAATAATTTGGATATGTGAAGAGGACTTGTAACATGTTTAACTTGGAAAACAACCCCATCAAAAAAAAAAAAAAAACCCCCAAAAGTATGACTTCATTTCACAACAACAGAATTTAAAATCGATTTCAGTACGGTAAAGTTTGTTTAAATTTTGCAAACAGGTGTACTTTAAGGTATATGTCTGACCTATGATATAAATTTTTCAGTTTCTTATAGTGCCCGTTAGGGTGGTAATACCATAATTGTGTGAATTAGAATTTTAGCTGGTATTATAAAGACTCACATCTAAACCATGTAAACTGTTCCTGGAACCAACCAGTACTAAGCTCTATGTGTAAAGTGTAAAGTTTCTTGTCAAAGGAAACAACAGCTTGCTCCAGACGTGATTTGAACCCATACAGTCAGCAATTCTCATATAACTAGTAGTACTAGTCTGAAATGTTGTTAAGCTTGTCATGTTAAAAGATTTTTTTCCAGTAGAGTTATTGTTTTGAATCTGTTTAATTCATAAATACTCTGTTTTATTCAAAACAAAGCTTAATTTTTCTTGTTGGATGTGTCATTTGTACATGTGTTGTGCATTTCAAACAATTTGCATGCGATGATTTATATACCAGTAAATTATCATTTCAGCCAAACAGATTAGAAGAGGAACAATGTGCCAAGCCCGACCTTGTGGAGATGTTATTTTCAGACGAGTAACAAGAATACACATACACATGGACTAGTCAGTTGAACTGTTGTCAGATAACGAGACATTCCTGATACAGAACTGCATTTAAAATTTATACCTTGAAAACTAAAATGTGTAACAGACACGGGAAATAATATAGAGTATAATTACTGATCATATGATACATCATATCATCATGCTTCAATTGGACAGAACACTTTTCTTTGTATTGTAAATGCTGTTACATAAAAAAAGTTATTCCGTATTCAAGTGACCTAATTTCAGTTGTAAACCAACACGCCTCATAATTCAGGTGAACAATGCATGGATATATTGCCATTTGACATCAGAAATACAGAAATACCATGTATTCAATAAAACCAGTTCATTTCTTTCCAATGTTCATCTGTCTTTCCAATGTTATCTTTTACCTGGTTGATAACTTGATATATTTTTTTTTAACTGAATGAAAGATGCTGTCTGTTTAGGGAATTGATACAGTATGCATGTATACATTTCTTGGCTTTTCTATAGTAACGAATTAACTAATATAAATTATCTTACCGTCCTTACATAAATTCCGCCCTGGTATGGTCCGCCCTGTCTCACGGTCCGCCCTGTCCTACGACCAATATACTGTCGTAATGACTCTATATAAAGCTTGTTCCACATAATATATTCATTGATGCACATCTATAATGAAAGATTGGCATCATATAATGACACAATTACATCACATATTGCTAAGTTGACTCTATATAAGGATGATTTCTCATAATATACTGGTATTTTGACTCTATATAAGGGTGGTATCACATAATATACTGGAAAATGCACATCGTATATTGAAAGATTAACATAATACATGGAAACATTGACATCATATATTGATGACTATATAAAGATGGTTTCACATAATCATAGGCCATTTGGGCCTTAACCCAGGCAGAAGTATATAGGCCCGGACAGAATATCACGGGCCCAAACATTTATTGTGCAAAATAAAGACAACAGTTTATTTTATGTTTTATTCACACCATTATAGGGTTCAATTTATTCACTAACCAATAGCTTTAGATGATAATATAGATTACGCATAAATGATTGACATACATGCATTACGCAAATGTTATTGGAAGTAAATAAACTGATGAAGTACTACACAATTATTTCGGAAAAATATTGAAACTAATTCTATATCGTATGTATAAGACTGAAATCATCGATATAACTTTCGTAGAGGGCCATGCACCGTGTATCATTCGTCTTAGTCAAGGGGTTAATAGAGTCGATGACTTCTAATCCAGTAATTAACCTCTCTGGCGTGGGTTCGATCCCCGGGAGATGCTTTGGTAGTTTAGCACGAAGAAGGTAGTCTAGTACTGGTGTAACTCTCCAGGAACGATGGTTAGTAAACTACCCGCCTATATGACTGAAATACTGTTGGGGAAAAGGCGTAAAATGAAACAAACAAACAATTTTAAATTTTGACAAAGCCCGCCAAGTAGTTTAAGAGATATTTAAAGAAACTGTGTACAACGACGGAGGGCGGACAGACTGTCGTTTGAGAAGCTCACCTCTTAGCACTTCGTTCTCAGGCGAGGTAAATACATGTATATATCATCTTTGTATATATAGTATCATTTATTGCAGGTACGGAAAGTGTTAAAGATTGCCTGAACGGACTGCCGAAATATGATGACCAATTAAAAAGCATTCAAACTTTATAACGATCGCAAGTGTCCTGAAATGAATGATAGAGATAAACAACAAACAATGATATGTAATTTTTTGCAATTTTGGTTGGGGTTGTTTAACTACTATGTTACTACATGCTATTTATATGAGAATATCAATAAAAGAATGTTAAAATTTAAGAAATTCAAGACAAGATCGTTAATCTACGGTGACACAAAGGTGGCATGTGTGTGTTTTTATTTATCTTGTGTGCACGAGATACAATGTCGTGGCCACGAGTTACTAAGTCGTGGGCACGAAATAGTTAGCTCGTCGGGTCGTGGCCACGAGTTACGAAGTCGTAGCCACGAGATTATTAAGTCGTGGGCACGATATACTATGTCGTGACAACGAGATTCTATGTCGTGGCCACGAGTTACTAAGTCGTTGCCATATTATTAAGATAGTTAAGTCGTGGGCACGAGATAATTAAGTCGTGGGAACGAGATACTATGTCGTGGCCACGAGTAACTAAGTCGTGGCATCGAGATAATAAAGTGGTGCTCACGAAATACTATGTCGTGGGCACGGGCAGCTAAGTCGTGCGCACGATATACTTCGTCGTGGTCACGAGTTACTTAGTCATGCGCACGAGATACTATGTCGTGGCCATGACTTTTTAAGTCGTGGAAACGAGATAATTAAGTGGCGCGGACGAGATACTATGTCGTGGCCACGAGTAACTTAGTTTTTGGAACGACATAATAAAGTGGTGCGTAAGAGATACTATGTCGTGGGCACGGGTTACTAAGTCGTGCGCATGATATACTTCGTCGTGGCCACGAGTTACTTAGTCATGGGAACGAGATAATTAAGTGGTGCGCACGAGATACTTTGTCGTCGCCACGAGTTATTAAGTCATGCGTAGGAAATAATTAAGTGGTGCGCACGAGTAACTAAGTCGTAACCACGAGTTACTAAGTTGTGCGCAGGAGATAATTAACCATTTAGATTTCACTATATATTTGAAAAATCTTAGTTAACTAGAAATGTGCCATGGGACAAGGCTGTCCCTACTTCATCTGTCTGTCACGGTGCCACATATAAATTGACACATATTATGTTATATTTACCATGGCTTATTTCTTCTCAAATTATTCATCAGACAACGATATCCATGAAGTGTCATGGTTACCTTGACCTTTGAACTATGACCTCAAACATCATTGTAGGTCATCTACTAGCCATGGGCAATGTTCCTACCATATAAGATAAACAAGGGCTTATTCCTGCTAAAGTTATCAGTCCTACGCATAAACCCTTCCAGCCTGCTGAATCTCAGTAAGGGCTTATCAGCTAGTAAACCACTATTAACTGTATATCTCCCATTAACACGTCCACCGAGTTGTTGAGAGTCTTGTCATCATTAATTGGTCCTCTGTGTTCTTATCTAACGTTGAAGGATCAAATTTCTGAAGATACACTCACTTTTTATCGATGTTTTGTTCTCTGGGACTGCGGCCCAAGTGAATTGTGAACTTTAGCAATTATTGAATTATTTGTAAATATACTTAATATCACTAATAAATTTTAGCTTCTAAATGAATTATATGTTGGGATATACCTTTATAAGTGATCTTCATCTTCTTTATTAATAAACTTTCATAGTTAAGTGTCACTTTTACTCATGTTACCCCCCCCCCCCCCCCAAAAAAAAAAAAAAAAAAAACGCTAAAAAACAAAAGCAAAAAAAAACGTAATTTTTTACTGTAAAGTGCAAGACTCTTAACTAAGTGACCAGGTAAGTGATATTTTTATTATTAGCTCGACTACATAAAGTATATGTAGACCTATCCTACTCACCTCGGTTTTTAAGTTCGCGCCAGCGTACATACTTTAAATTAATGCCTACAGATGTGCAGTAAATATTTTATCTCTAACTTTTTTTATTAGCTCATCTGAGGACAATGTCCGTGCGTCAAAAATTTATTTAAACAACTTGTACTCCTAAACCACATAGCCAAATTTGTTAAAACTTTGCAGGAGTGTACCTTGCATAAAGCTCTACCAAAGGTGTTCAAAGAATAAAATCCCATGCAGAACTTTGATTGCCATAGCAACCAAAAAAAATTATAAACCTTTCTTTTAAAAAATCCAAAGAGCTAGAGCTTAGATATTTGGCATGAAACATCTTATACTGAGTGTCTATCAAGTTTATTCCGATCAAAGCCCTGGGATAAAAATTGGCCCGCCCCAAAGGGTCATTAATTTTCATTATACATCTGTATGTACACATGTATATCTTATCATCATACACATCATGCGATAAGGTGTTAAACTAAAAAAAAGTATTTACAGAACAATTTCCCTTTGAACATATAATTTTCCATAAAATAATGTTATTTTTTACTCTATGCTTCATTTCATCATAAGGGATTGACCTAAATTTTCAAATATGTGTACCTTACCAACAACTACATCATATGTGACAATGTTGTTCACTTAAGCACCAATATTTTTCCAGAATATTTCCCCATGAACTCATTTTTTTCCTCAAAATAATTGTTACTTTTTACTAACTTCTTTATTTCTTAAGGTATCTACTTCTAACTTAAAAATATATGTTCCTTATACATGTGTGACAATATTCATAGCTCTAGCATGAATATTTCCAGAATTATTTCCCCTTTGAACTTAGATGTTTATTATGCCCCCGAAGGGTGGCATATTAAAATCAAACCGTCCGTCTGTCAGTCCGTCCGGCTTTATACATATAGACAGTGGTGGTCTTGTCCGTTCTGAAACTTCAGTACACATGAAAGGATTTTAATTTTATTCATATATGAAATAACCAAAGATGTATAAGGTGTGTCGCAAACAAGACTCGGGTTCCTACGACTAAGGTCAAGGTCATTGTTGGGGTTTAAACTTTGTCATTTTTTATGTTATATAAATATAAAAGGTGGTGGTTCTGTCCGCTCTGAAACTTCTGTATTTCTCTATATTATATGCATGAAAGGATTTTATTTTTTTCTTTCATATATGAAATAACCATAGATGCATGGTGTGTCGCGAACAAGGCTCGGTTTTTTACGACTAATGTCAAGGTCACTGTGGGGGTTCAAACTTTCAATTTTGATGTTAATATACAAATAGGCAGAGATGGCCGTGTATGCTCTGAAACTAATATGCATGAAAGGATAATATGTTTTATTTCACATATGAAATTATAATAAATGTATGATGTGTTGCCCTTAAGACATATAAATGGTGGTTGTTGTGTCCGCTCTGTAACTTCCATATACATGAAAGTTTCATTTTTTTTAAATATATAAAGACAATGTGTTGTGAACAAGACCAAGGTTTCTTTCTCTAACTTAAAGGTCACTCAGCTGGGGTTCGAACTTTGTCAATTTTTACCACCACACTTAACATGTTATAGGTGGTTCATAACTAGAATCCTTTAGGGGCATTTGTCACGTTCTGTGACAGCTCTTCTTTATATATTATTTTTATATATTTATATTTTGCTCTTACTTCTTTATTTATGAAAGAATTTACTTCTAACTTTAAACAATAACATGACAAGCTACATAACTCTAGCGTCAATATTTTCAGAATCATCATCCTTTTTTACTCAGAATTTTCCGCATTAAATTTGGACTTAAAAATATGTTTCTGAACACTTATATCAGGTGCGAATAGATTTATAACTCC